AAATGTCATCATCTAGGGTTGCATGCAGGGTTGCCCAAGTGTTTTGGCTAGGTATGCACATACTCAAATTTGCATCAGTTCTACACCGATCTTATCAAGATGCCAGTACAGTTTTGTTGCAAAACAATTTTGAACAGGAATTTTCTTTGATAAAATTAATACAGTACAGGAAATCCAGGCAAAAGTTCAAACTTTTTTCTATTTTAGGATCTATATGTACATTCGAAATGAGTCAGGAAATCACACAGTACAGGACAGAAGAGTTATTTAAGCTATATAATATGAATATATTTTAAATTCTTGAAAACTTATCATGGAAGTGCATGATATTCACCAATTATCAGCATCAAAATTGAATGCTTGGAAATGCTGATGCTTCAATCTTTATGAGCATTATATCTTGAGTGTCAGTTGCCAAGTATTGTTGGAAAGTAGTGAAATATTTTCTCGATTCATTTGACTGGTCACCATAAAACCATAATCCAGGGAGAAATTTCTTCTGATATAGTTACTGATTGGTTTATGTTGCAGCCAGGCAAACAAAATGGGAGGCAGCTTCTTAATGCTTGGAAAAAGTTTTATAAAACTGTCTGCAGCTCATCATCTGCCTTCAATGATGGCTTCTGGATGATTTACAGGACTTTTGAGAGCCCCCATTGTCTATGTTGAATAAAAGAAGATTCCCTTTTCATGAGTCTGGGCCTCATAGTTTTGACTGTGGTAGCATGGCGCCACATTTGCTTCTCCCTGTTTATGTAAATCAGTTGTCAAGTTGTCAGTTCCTGATGCTTTCAACTGCTGCAGGCCAGGGAAGTATTTCTTACTGTTGTTCAGTTCTTGGGAGGTTTTTTCCATTCTTTCAAATATACCTTAAAATTTGAGGCAAGTTGTGATGTGATATGACATGAGCAATATTCAGTGCAGCACTTAATTCATTCTGAATTTAAATAGATACTTCTACTAAAAAAACTGTTGCACAGAATCTTCTCAGGGAATTTTTTTTATTGAATAGTTGATTTTTCTTGGTTTTTCATCTTCAGGTTTCCAGATATTTATTTAGTAGTCAGCTAAGATGTTGACTAGATCCATGAAAAATTTTATTTTAAATGCCCAGTTGAAGTTTTCCAAGGGAATTGGGAAAAATTTGGCATTCACTTAACTTGAGAAAAAATTGTTGGAATATGTGCAGATGCAAATCAGAAAAAAATTCTTGAGCCTCTTTTATCTTGCTGAATGTTTTTGGGTAACAAGTGAAGTTGAAATTTTCTTGATACTCTGCTTTTTTTTATGAAGTGTCCATGAGTTTTTTTTTTCATTGATGCCCTGAAGATGTTGAATAAACCCTTGCAGAAGGACTAAAAATTAAATTCAGTGTACTTTGATTGCAATAAAAAAGTTGGCTGTTTATATGCTGATAAATTACAGTATATTTCAAGCCCTATTTTGTCTTATATACAACAATGAATAATAATTCAAAATGTAGAAACCTAGCAATAAGACTTTGATTAGGAAAGATTGAAATACAAATGAAATAGATGCGCACCACATTTAAGGTTATTTTTTGCTTTTTGAAAACATGGTTTTTTAGATTAATTTTTTAATCTACTATAATTATTTATAATATACAGTATGCATGTTTACAGTTCGCCGTTTTACGCTGCGTAAATATAAAAACAAATTTTCCGGCAAAATTCCAACGAGTCACATTTGTTTTTTGGAATACAGTTTCATTAAACCTTCACTGATCCACCGCACACACACAGCCAGAAAAAAAGGGTCACCCATATATAAATACAGTGAGACCCCCACATGTGGACACCTCGGCCTGCTGACAATTTGACATAGGGACACTTATTTTATCATAAAAATCAATAAAAAAGGCCCAAAATGAGGACACTGACTCAACATAGGGACATTTTGAGATACAATTTCAAATACACTTCAGGCCAAATTACAAGAAACAGATATTTCCAACCCTAAAATTGATGTAAGAAAAGTTCTTGGGCATTTCTCTCACCAATTTACCATCCATCTACCTAATTAAAAGAAATTAGCTCCAGCAAAGAGGAACTTCCTTCTCTTTTTTCACTTGAACATTATTTTTACAGAGAATACCAACATTTATATGTACTGTACAGAGGTATGAGTTTTCAATTCCCCAAATGCGTGCTTGTTGAAATATATTGATTGGAATCAGTTTAAATTGGGAGACAATTTTTATTTTCATGGAATTATGGTGAGTATTTTGTACATAGAACACCAATTAAACATTATATAATGTAAGTACAATATAAGGGAAACTGAGACTCAACTTGGGAACATTTCGACTTAGGGACACTCTTGATGCACCAATTACGTCCGCATCACGGGGTCTCACTGTATAATGCATGGAATAACTCGCCACAACTAACTTCAAGAAGAGATAAGCAATTGTTAACGAAGCATAACTCGTATAAGTCAATGGTCCCTTGCTGCACCAGGGCAGTGGGGCAACTACTGACCCATCAACTCGTTCCCTCATCCCAACTTGAAGAAGAAGTGAAGAATCTCAGGCTTGAGAATCGTCTGCAGGGAAATTCTTCTTTTTTTTAATGTGAAAAGGAGCACAATATTTTATTTATTTATTTGAACTCTACCAAGATTCAAATTTTTTCGACGTCACGCCGTGATTATATTACACTACAGTATATGCGTGAGGATTTTATGGGGATTCCGATCTGAAAATTCCGTTGACTAAAAAATGCGGTGAATGTACAGTATAGTATTTTATACGGGGCGAAGGAATTTTGTTCACGTGGAGTTGAGACTTTAAGATGAAACGCTGCTTTACATCAGCAAAGCTTCATTTAGGAAGTATCATACACAATAAAGTAATCTTCAGCTGGTACCATATGTACTTGAGTACCAGCAGGTGCCTTTAGTTCTTTTTGCGTGCTATAATTTTTAGAAAGAAATCTCATTCCTGCGTAATTAAGACGTCCCCCTTGTAGTTTCCACTCTTATTGCTTAAAAAACCACATTATTGCTGGGTTGAAATATAATTACAAGCTAGCTCACTTGAAAATTTAATTGAACTGAACTCCTCTACTTTTATATGCGTATAAATCATGGGCTCGTTAAAAAAAATAACTCACAACTTTTTTGAAAGCAGGGATATTTTTTCAAATAATAAACCCAACCTGTGTACCAAACATGACACCAAAAAGGTTTGCAAATTTTCCTCAAAATGTTGTAGGAGACTATACAGCACCTCATTTCTTGTCCCAATTTTTTGAGAGTTGTGAATGTGGTACAGTAATTTCCTGAATATGATAAGTGGCTGATACTTAATCCTAAAATACTGTACTGTACCTCAAAATTCCCCAGAAAACTCTTGCATGCAATATTATCCAAAATAATCAGCAATCATGTGGTTTTTCAAAGTTCCGCGTGTTTCCATATAAATCAAGGTAAGACTTTGTAATGTTTTGTTGCATTGGAATTGAAAATTTTTCAATCGGAAACATCCACAATTTACTCCACCCTCTAATAGTCTAATCAAACTGAAATTAAATTTTTTCGGTCGACTCGATTGCAATCGTTGCAAAGGAGCCCTTTCATTCATGCCTTTTAATGATCCATTATCTGTGTCAGTTCATATCAAGTTTCGATCGGGGTTCGAAGAAAATCCTGAAGTTGCATAAAATACCCGAGCTGAGATAAATTAAAAAAGTATCATCTTTATATTGACTTCAACGGATTTTCGAATGAAAAGCAACAAAAACTCGAATTTTAAAACACTTTGATCCAATACTGAATGTTTAACAAAATTTAGGAAATTTATGAAGATGTAATCCCATTAATTATATAATCTACATGGTAAGGAAGAGGTCCTCGCCTCACAATGGACTTGCACTTCATCAATTTTGACAACAGCATTTTATTATTTTACAATAATGAAAAAAATCTTCCATCATTCCCTCACTTGTCTATTCATAGCGCTATTTTAATTTGCTGGTTGAAAAATACGCTTGGATTGGACCAAATTTCGAGAAATTCAAGTGGAAATTTGACCACCCCGTCAAAAAAATTTTAAAAGCTACAGATGAACCCTGGAATCTACAAAAAATAATCAGGGGACAGGCAAAATTTATTGTAGAGAGGATTTAGTTGCAGAGAACCTCTATTCATTGTATGGGTACTGTGGCGTACCAGCCACAAAGAATAAACAAATCGAGGCTGAAAATCAAAAGTTAATTGAAGGATTCACACAATCCGCCGGGAACACCGCAGGGNCAGGGTCAAAGCGTTTTCAAATCTTCCAATTTGATGAGATTTTCAAGAACCTGTTCAATATACTTCACACAGAGTATCATAATGGATACATTTTCGACATTTGAGTTTTCCAATGCTAAAATTTTGAGAAGTGCCTATATAATAGCTCAACGAGCCAACTTAGAGATTTTGCAGACAGGAGTTTCCTTCACACAACGACGAATGAAAAAGTTAATCGAATTTTTTTTAAAATCGAGTTTAAAATTTCAAAATATTGAACTCGGTATTATTTGGAAAGTCTTCGGAAAAGAGGAAATAAAATAATGCAGAGTTTGAACACTTTTTGAAGATACACAGAAACTTTTGGGAGAAAAAGACTCTCTTCGTGACTTGCAAAAACATTTTTGGAACGAGTTTGTGTTGTCTTTTAAAATTTATACTACAAGTTTAACGCTTTTAAAAATGGTCAACTTTGATAAGACTTTCCGAATCTGTTCAATACTTCGCACGAAGTATGATCAGGAATGCATTTTACCTCCTTCCAGTTTTCCAATGCTAAAATTTTGAAAATTCATATGTAATATAGCTCAACGAGCCGATTTAGAAATTTCGGTGTTCTGAGCTTGACAATTATTGCTCCGTCAAGCTCGAAGTAATTTTCCCCTCCTTCGAAGATTTCGAGTTAGATACGAGTCTCCTGATGACTTTTTCGTAACAAATAATCGCAGGAAAAGTATCACTCACAAATCCGAAGAACAGTTGGTAGGCTTTGGCATTTTGTATCCACTTTGCAGCATGGAATGAAGATCCGAAACCGAAACACCAGGGTATGGAACCCCACCCAAAGTCGCGATTTCCCACAGAAGAATACCGAATGACCACCTGTGGGAATGAAAAAGCTCATCATCCTTTCATCACACACACAGAAAAAAGAGGAAAATTTGACCACGGAAATTTCGAGAATGTCTAAAAGCTAGGCCAATGGAATGCTTTCCATGGTAGGCATGTCTCACAAGATCAGCCAGTACACTACAGCACTGTATAAACTGTGTAATCATATAAAAAAAAAAGCACAGCAATATACTGTTCTATATATTGTTGAGATACATATTCTATATATTGTATGTCCCCTTGATACATGATACTGTAGCTCTTTTGAAAAATTCATGGCACTTTAGTAAAAAATTCATCCAATTTTCAAAGGTGTCTTAAATGTTGTAATTCCTGCAGGATAAATACATTGGTTGGAGCATTGCCAGAGCACTTTCTCTTGTCATGCCCAGCATTCCATACCAATAGAAATGAGCTTAAGAAAGATTTACTAGTATTGGAATCCAATGAAGAAACTCTTTTTGAAATCATAGAGGATCAAGATAAACTGTAGACCTTGTATGATTTCTCATCAAAGATTCTCGCTAAATTTTTCCTTCAACTAAACCTTATCTGGGAACAGGCTGAAGACCTTTTGTGCTTTGAAATGGGTTCAGTAACTGCTGAAATTGATATAATTCTGGCTTATACTGCAATTCTTGTTAATGCTATTTTTTTTTCAATGTCAGGGAAAGAAGGGGATGTATGCATATACATCAGTTGTGCAGTTGTACATTGTGGAATGTATTTTATTTTTATTTTGGTACCCATATATACAGCTTATTTCTCTGTTTCCCATTCTGGGGGATTGAATGCATTTGAATGGATTTGGGTTGGGTGGGGATGAGGGGGTTTGGATGTGGGAATGTTGATTGAACCTTGTGAATGCTGAAAAGTGGAAAATAAATCTTTCTGTTCATTCATTCATACTGTTCTATACCGTGAGTGGACTTCTTGCCGGAGCTCACATATGAGCTGCCAAATTTACGCTGACCCCCTTCCCCCTGCCTCACTCCCCATGCAGCTTCAGTCCCTCTCTTGTGCATATGCTTCAGCAACTTCAGAAAGTGGAGCCTGGCTGTTTTGGGATGAAACGGTGTAGGACTCACACTGCACTCAATGCTCCATTAAAATGCAGAAATTTGTATACTTGAAAAAACAGGAAGAAATTTCCACAGTTCATGCCTGAACCCAAATAAATACAATATAAGAACCCTTTAATAGCAAATTTAATTCAGACAATTTCTCATTGCATGTACTCAACTTTTATAATCAGAGTAATGAAAAGAGAACCTTCAGTAAAGCCATAAGGTTTAGTAAAATGAATATTAATTATAGTTGTAGATAGTACTTCTCCCACTACACTGTTTATACCTATTCAAACAGGCCTTCTGAAGTCTCACATGATTTTTCTTTAAGGAGAGAGTGATGGGTTCAGGGAGTGAGGCAGGGGGAAGGGGGAGCAGGGTAAATTCGGCAGCTCACATCTGAGCTCCGGCGAGAAGTCCGTCCACCGTTCTATACAACAATCTTGTCTAGAACAATTTTATCTGCATAAGAAATTTGTATTTGACCCCATAGCGTTCTCTCTTTCCCGGGGTTACAGGGGGTTTCCTGCAACAAAATTCAAGGGACCAAAAAAATTAAAATAAAATCCCCAGTGGAGAGAATTTTGTTGCAGAGAGGGTCCACCTGTATATATATACCTTATGCAAGTATCAAGACTAGGCATCTCAGAGCACTTACACGTCACTTTTCGTGGTATACAATTGATGCATGATGCTTTCGGGGGCCATCCACCGAATGGGAACCTTCCCGTTGGAAGTCCTCTCGTACAAATTCCTGGCATACACGTCGCGACTCAGGCCAAAGTCCGAAATCTTGACGTGCTTCGGCCGGAAGAGCAAAATATTCCTCGCCGCCAAATCACGATGGACAACCTTATTCTTCGACAGGTACTCCTATAAAAAAACGCAATTTCAAATCACACAACAAGTCAAGATTTTCAAATTATGAAAGACAAAAAAATAATGAAGAATTCACTCACCATTCCAGCAGCGATTTGCCTGGCAATGGACAATAAATCGGAAGGAGTTCGCATCTCGTCCACTGCATTCTGCGGTGCATTATCGATCGCCACTTCGTAGTTTTCGCAGACTATGTTTTCACCTGATATCAAAAAGCACGTTTCTTCAGAATGCGAGGAAAAACAAGTAGCCAGCACTCCAGACATGCACAGTATACAGTACAGTGATTGCACAGCAGCACGGATTTGGAAATTAATTATGGGACTTCATCCCAGGAAAGTTGGATTTCTCACCACCACTGTTGATGACGAGTTGGGGATTATCCAGACTGCCTTCGTACAGTTCATTATGCACCATGGCAGAGCCAGCAGGAATATTTAGTGGAGGCGTTGACGGTGGAGATGAAGTCTCACTCTCACATCCTTCATAGCCTGAATATGGCAGAATGTGTGAAGAGAATAATTAATCTGTCAAGCCATAAACCTTCTACTTCTATACAGTAAATCTAATTACAACAAATTTTTGGGGACTTCAGAAAATGTTAGTTTGACTGGATAATTTGTTATAACAAGATTTTCAAAATTGATGAAATGTTTCAACATCAGATACCTGCCTTCAATTGATTAGATCTTGTTTTTCGAGCACATTCTCAGATTCTTCATTATTGTTTAGAAAACTGAGTGAAACATTCTTTATAAAAGTTTGTTGTCCGGGAATTGGGAAGTTTGTAATAATGAGATTGTTTTAACATGTACCTTAAGGGCTTTCTGTCTGGACTTGAGAAAAGGGTACTTTCCTGTTATCTCAGTACCTTCCCTCTGACCAATTTAACCTGACCTAACCTAACTTCACCTAACCGCCTCCTAAAATCAGTTTCTGCTTTCTTTGGGTTTCTGCTGAAACTGATTTTGGGAGGCAAATAGGTAAAGTTAGGTTAGGTCAGGTTATGTTAATTAAAAGATATTTGTAACTAACATAAGCTGACCTAACCTAACTTTATTTAACTGCCTCCCAAAATCAGTTTCAGCAGAATGCAGAAAAATAAAATTCACAGTTTCTGGTAGGTTGTCAGGATTATGAACTTGTCCTGAAGATTTGTCTGGAGGGTAGTGAGGTCTAGGAATGAGGTACTGAGATAACAGGAAAGTACCAAGAAAAGTTTGTTACAGTTGAACATGGATAACTCAAACCTCCCAAAGTTAAATACCTCCCTAAGTCAATTTTTTTCAGGTACCTGCCTGAATCCCTCAGAAACAATGCATTAATAACTTCCCTAAGTCAACAGTTTTTCCCTTCACACCTCCATAAGTCAAATTTTCTGTGGTGCGTTGGCTATTATTTTCTTGACACAAAAACAAAAAAGCAATAAAAACAGAAATTGATGTGCTAAAGAAAGTGAATTACATAATTGGGCAAATGAGCCCCTGCCTCCAAGTTCAGCATCCTTTTAACTCATTCAAGAAGCAATTTAATCCTCAGAATATCATTTAAAATTTTTGGCAATTTTTCTAAGTTTCCCAGAAAAAATGGCTTTGTATTGTAGCTCAAACCTGAAAACCTCCCTAAGTAAAAACCTCCCCAAGTTGAATTGTTTGCTGGTCCACTTTAAATTTGACTCAAGAGAGGTTCAACTGCATAATGAAATCTTTGTTGAAATCGCATTTGCTGTAAAAAATATTTCACTATAAGAATGTTAAGAATCTTAATATATTTTACATGCCCACAGACAGGCTTTTTAATTGACCATCATTTGCAAAAGCTTTGCCAATTTTATAATTCAACCCCGCGATACTCGCGAGAACGTCTCGGCCAAAATACCCCGGAATTCTCCCAATTATGCGCTACGGCCCGAATTCAACATCATTACCGTCTGTGCTAATTTTACCCATATCCAGTTAATTATCGCATTTGCTTCAGAAGTACAGAAAATTCCGAGAATTGCGTAATAACCGTCATTAATATCGAGTTTACAGACATTTATTTGCGAGGACAACAAAAATAACAAGCCTTTTCTTCTCACCCGAGCTGTCGGAAGCGTTGCAGCGGAACTCGGTGTACACGATGCCCTTGCGTTCCGTCGCTTCAGCAATTTTCCTGGCCTTCTCAAGCTCCATTTTCTGGCATGAACATAAATCCAGTGGAAAAGCATCATTTCAGCCACTTTCCCGCAGCAGAGGATGGATTTCTCAAAAGTACTGGAAGTCACGGGGAATTTTTTTTCTGATAATAAGGTGGAATGTTTTACGCGTTCATTATTCAAAAAAAATTCTTCTGGTATTACAACCAGATTGCATAAGATACATTAAATTGCTGAAAGGTTCCAGGAAATTCTATAATGTATAAAAATGGAGGAAAATTTGCAGAGAAAATTATCTCTCTTCGGAAAAGATAATTTTCGCGTGGGCAAGTCATAGTAAAAAAAATTTTTATTTTCACTCTCTCTACAAAGATTATGAATTTCAATAATATATAGGGACTGAGAAAATGAATTTATTGCGATCAGTATTTTTTTTTTTACAAAGTTACTCTCACTCTACAACCATTTTTTCATCTTTCTTTGAATTTCGGTGCATAGAGAGAGTCCACTTCATGAAAAATGATTGCTCACAAAAATTCTATTTTTCATTTCCTGCTCAATAACCAATTTATCATGCCTTTTTTGCCACAAAACCTCCTGAAATACTCTGTAATTTTGAAGTACACTTTCTGAAATACTCTGTAATTTCTCCCGAAATTTTTTTAATTACACTTACTACAGCAGAGTTTTTGGTTAAAAAAAATAAGTACACAAAAATTTTTCTCAAATTTCTTTCCTACACTCTTCCCAATGAGATTATTAGAGCTTCAACATTGAAAAGGATTCAAAGGTAAATTGATTTAATTTCTCAAGTTACATATTTCTTTGTGAAGTACAGTCAACCCCCGTCTAACGGACTTGATTTGTGCAAGGGACAAGTCTGTTAGACATAAAGTCCTTTAC